AAGTAACATCTTTAATGAACTCCAGCCTAATATGTCTAACTTCGCTTGGTATTTTGACTTCATCTAACTAGCCTAATCTGACTAAGGCAAAGTGTGATTTGAATGATGTGTAGTTTGATCTGATTGAAGCGTAATCTGATCTGACCAAGGCATAGTCCAATCTGACTAAAAAGGCTAACTAGTCAAGATACCTATTAGAGTAACATGTTTTGACCCACACCAGTCCCTTCAGTTTGATCATCTGATCGCCTGAACGTCACAAGCTATGAGCATTCCGGTCATTCTCGCCATCTCAGGTATCACGAGTCACGGGACATAAAAAAAAAAAAACTAAATTGTTTAGATATGCATTCCCTAGGCATGTTATGGTAATAATGAATACCAAAATTAGCATTCCATTTAATTGGAAAATTGTTTTATTTCCAAATTAGTCACGTGACAGTCTGTCACTCAGAGATGATGAATTACTCCACAAGCATTGCATTGTGCCATGAACCATCCATCAATTACACACAGTTAGACAACACAACACCTTCTTTTCCCAATATTGCTAAAAAAATCATCTTACACCATTACAAGCCTTATTTTTTTCCACACATTTATGTTTATTTTAACAAATTCATTATTTTCGTTGATTTAATCTTACATCTAAAAAATATAAAATTACGTAATGTAAATTATTTCACCAGTACAAAAAGATAAAAATACTTTACTAGAAAACTAACATCCATCATTAATTTTGTTATTCCAAAAAACACATCGTGAAAGTGACTTGCTTATATATGTTTTACTTAAAAAAAGTTATTAAACCGTACAACTCATAAAATTTCAACTTTAAGCAAGAGTTCGTATGGTATACAAATTCCTATTAATTTCGGATTAGGGATGATTTGATCCGACAAAGAATAAGATTAGGACTAATTGATTTATAATTTACTAGTTATTTTCAGATTGGTAATACAAAATCCAAACGGTTGGTAACGATGTAATTCCATATAAAACAAGGGTCAGATTCATCAAGTCAACGCCCTTAAATTCACTACCACCAACCGAACTTGAATTCCCTTCTCCGTCTCTCTCTCGATTTTCTCAGTTCCGATTTCTTTCTTTCAATTTTCCCGAGAAAATTCAGCACCGACAACCAAATCAAATCATGGAAGAAAATCACGCTGCAGCTTTCGAATCAATCGGGAACGGCGACCATTACGACGCCTCATCCACCGCCGCCAATGATTACAGTACCCATCATACCACCACCAACAACGACCACGGTTGGCAGAAGGTCACCGCGAAGCGCCCGAGGAAGAAGAAGGAATCGAACGCGGAAACAATTAACAATCAGAACAAGCTGGTCCCCGGCGTCGCGAACGCCAACGGAAACGGCGTTTTCCGATCGCTGGAGAAACAGTCGGAGGACCGGCGCCGGCGGATTCTCGAAGCTCAGAGGGCCAATGTCGACCTCGACGATGTTGCTCCGGCGAGATCGAAGCTCAGGTCTGACGACGAGGATGGGGATAATAGCGATGACGAAGCTGTGGCGCAGAACGTTAAGGCCGAGGAGGCGAAGAAATCCAAGCCTAAGAAGCCGAAGAAGCCTAAGGTCACGGTGGCTGAGGCGGCCGCTAAGATCGACGAGGCAAACGATCTCGAGGCATTCCTCATTGACATTTCGGTGAGTTTTATGCTCTGATCTAGCTTGATCTATTCGTTTTCAATTGAATGCGATTTAAATTTCCAAAAATTTGAATTGATTTGGGGATTGTGAATTGCAACAGGCTTCATACGAGTCGAAGGAGGACATACAGCTGATGCGTTTCGCGGACTATTTCGGCCGCGCATTCTCTGCGGTGTCTGCCTCTCAGTTTCCATGGGTGAAGATGTTCAAGGAGTCATCGGTGGCCAAGCTTGCCGATGTAAGTTTTGAAATTTATTCATTTATATACCTGGGGTTGAATTGCTTGTGAACCATTACCATTGTGCATGATGCTCTTTTCTGTTCCATATTACTAATGTCATTTATATTAATGAGATCAAAATTCCGTGGAAAGCTTTTCTCTTTGGATATATAGTCAAATAAATCTACGAAAAGTTTTTCTCTTTGGATATATATTCGAACAAATCTGTGGAAACCTTCTCCCCTTAGATATATATTTGAACAAATATGATCCTTGTTTGATCTTGTTGGATGTTTAGTTGAGATTAGCTGTTTGTCTGTTGTTTTTGGGGTTTCTCCATATCATTCCTACGATTTTCAGCATACTTCCTTCTGAATATAATTTCGCTTCTTCCTGAAAACGATTGTGCGTATTATTTCTGGTAATGGTAGAGGTGGTATTTATGGCCTCAAAGGTGAATCGGTTGGTGGATAATGTTATAATTTGTTGAAAGAACGTTTTATTCTAATATACATGCATGTGATGATAAGGTTGATATTTGCAAGATGGATAATTAGGGCAAGTAACTTATCTGGTTCTACTAATTCTCTGGCTTGTGACCTCTATTTTATGGGCTTAATAACTTATTGGTGGAAGCAATTTGAGTGTGCATGCTCCTGGACAACCTAATCACTTAGTGGTGTTTTCTTTAACAGATCCCCCTTTCTCATATTTCTGAAGCTGTTTATAAGACATCAGTTGACTGGATCAACCAGCGTTCCGTTGAGGCCCTTGGGTCTTTTATATTATGGTCCTTAGACAGCATTCTTGCAGACCTAGCGAGCCAAGTTTCTGGCACGAAGGGCAAGAAGGCTGTGCAGAATGTGTCTTCAAAATCTCAGGTATTTCACCTCTCCTCACTTTCATCTTTTACTTGTCCAGGAATTGGTTGATAGATTCATTGTTAATGTTACAAATATGTACTTGTTGACTGCTGATAAAAACTTGAACTTTGTTGAATTCTCAGGTTGCAATATTTGTGGTTGTAGCAATGGTATTGCGAAGAAAACCCGATGTCTTGATTACTGTATTGCCAACACTGAGAGAAAATTCAAAGTATCAAGGACAAGATAAGCTTCCAATAACTATATGGATGATAGTTCAGGTAAGTGGTTAACAATATAATACTGGTTTAAACGATCTTTCTTCATGGAAAAAAGAACATTAGTTCTTATGTTAATGTTAAATTTAATCGATGTCAAATATGTCTTGTTTAGGCTAGTCAAGGGGACCTCGCCGTTGGGTTGCATGCATGGGCACGCAATGTGTTGCCTTTAGTCTGTGGAAAAAGTAGTAATCCACAGTCCCGAGACCTTGTTTTGCAGCTAGTGGAGAGGTATTAAAAGATAGTTATCGCTTCAAACATTTTTTATTGCCTTTACATTCTTCAACACTGAAATTTGTTACTTTGGTTGCAGAATTCTGTCTATGCCCAAAGCTCGTACTATTTTAGTAAATAGTGCTGTTAGGAAGGGGGAGCGTTTGGTGCCACCTTCTGCATTGGAGATACTTATGGGAGTTACCTTCCCTGCACATTCAGCTAGAGTAAAGATAATTAGTTTTAAGGGAAGATTCACTAAATTTATTTTATTGCACTGTACTTAAGCATGATAATTTTACAGGCCACTGAAAGGTTTGAGGCTATATATCCAACCCTAAAAGCGGTCGCTCTAGCTGGCACCCCTGGAAGCAAGGCAATGAAACAAGTTTCACAGCATATATTGAGTTTTGCTGTCAAAGCTGCAGGAGAAAGTACGTAATTTGTTTTGACTTCCTTTGTATTGTAGTTTTTGTTTCCTAAGTAGGGAGAAATCGTAGGTTCATAAAATGGGATTGAGATAATTCTGTCTCTTGCAGGTATACCAGAGCTATCCGATGAAGCAGCTGGAATTTTCATTTGGTGTTTGACCCAACATTCTGATTGCTTTAAGCAGTGGGTGAGATATTCTACTTCTCATTAGCATCGTTGCATTCATCTTTGGGGTTTGAAACTGCACCGTTGGTGAATTTATCAATCTGATTTCGGTGTTGTGCATCAAATGGTAACAGGACAAGGTCTACGAGGAAAACTTAGAAGCGAGTGTTGCTGTTCTGAAGAAACTTTCTAACCAATGGAAAGAACATTCTGCAAATCTCTCTCCTTTTGATCCTATGAGGGAAGCTCTTAAAAGTTTTAGGCGCAAGGTAACATTTTTTTTTGGATTTCTTGATCTTACCAGAACTTATAGATGATTTAGCTATGGGCAAAGTATAACTTGTTTTATGCTTGTAGAATGAGAAGGCATTGGCTGGTGAGGCAGAGGATGCACGCCAAGAAAAGCTCAACAAGGAAGCAGACAAGTATTGTAAGACATTATTGGGGAAGATATCACGGGGAAGCGGGTGCAAGAAAACTGTGGCCCTTGCAGTTGTTGCCTTGGCTGTTGGTGCTGCTGTCATGTCCCCAAACGTGGAGTCTTGGGAATCGGAGTTGAAGAAACTAACAGTGACTATCAGCTCTTTCTTTGAATGAACTGTGATTTCCAGTTCCGAGAATCTTTCCTTAGCAGGATGAGCGAAGCCGGTTTAGAAGCTGACGGTGCAAAGTACCGACTTTTATTCTCTTACAAAATAGAGTACGATGAAGAAAAGTTCTGCTAATTTACTCCAGAATAAGGTGGCGACAAACAGGAAGTTCTATTTATACTTTTATCCCGACGGGATACAGAACTAGACGTAGTTGAAGGTCAATACTTGCTTGAAGGTTTGATTTGGTTTGAGTTTTTTGTTTTCGGTTCAACTTTCATGTCTATTTAGATTCGTTTGAAGGTATTCCCCGCTAACATCTACAAATACCAGCAATATGTTTATGAGAACTCAGAGACCGATAGAAATATGTATTCTCTGATTAGTGTTTCGTTTGAAAAGGAATTTTGAATTTGAGGTTTGATTCTTCATTATATTCATTAGAGTTCTGGATTTAAGTTCATATGTATCAAATCTGTCATTGGGGTATAACATTGTACATGTTCAGCTGCATCTGCCACGGCGTTCGGAAGTACGTATGTACTACAAGAAGCTTATAGAGGATCTGCATCTTCTACGAGTACTCTTCAGGTTCTGCAAATGGGTACTTTAGAAAGCCAGCTTTTATTTGGTCAGGATCGTCCGGCTCGACCAAGGATACTTCATGGATGGATCTCCTGGGAACTTCCTGAAGTTCAGAAATGGTGCCCAAAGTAGTACTCTGCACAATGGGATAAGCATAACTGAATCACTGCTTTTTCTACTCTAAATCTTAACAGCGACAAGGGGATGATTTCCGTACGGTTCATTTTTCTTTCAGCACTTTGTTTTTCGACTCACTTTTGATTTCATTTCGAAGACGAGAAATAAGCAGAAGTGTGCGGAATCACTTCCCCAAATTTTGGTGCTTCGTTTAGGATAATCAAGAAGAAACCGAATGAAATGATTAAAAAAGGGCACTTAACAAGGGAAGAACAAGAAGACAAAAGGGCACTTAACAAGGGAAGAACAAGAAGACAAACATGAACTGAAAGTACGTCTCTAGGAGATTTCTCTTGTACCACCTAATCCGAAGCCAGTTCATGATAATTGGCTGCAATCACGCTAAAGTGCTTTTCTGAAAAGCTCCATGTCACAAAAGGAAGTACAAAGATAAGGTGACGTGTACTTACTGGCATGACAAGGAAGTACCTGAAGGCAACAACTCCTGACTGTATTACAGCAAGTTCACCTCTTCTTTGGACACCGTCTCAAAGTCCATCCTAGTCTCTAGGCCGGTCCAAAATAGGCTAAGTGAGGAACCGGCCTATCTAATGTTAGTATGAGTCCGTTAACAATGGCTGATTCTTTTTTTTTTTGCAATTGGCGCCTGGGATACACGCGCTCGTGGGTGCTTGTTCCAGACTTCAAAAAAAAAATGTCAAAATCTCACCGTGGACCATGCGTCCACTTTTGAGGTGTTGGATTTTAACCTTTTTGAAATCTAACAGTCCAGGTTAATTAATTTAATAAAAAAATTATAAAAAATGTTTAAAAATACATAAAAAAATTAAACGATTATATATATAAATACCTAACCATCTCCTACAAAAATTGTACTTTCGAAAAATGATACGTGACGTGACAAGATTGGTTAAAAATTCTATCTGAAATTCAAAATAAAATTATTTTTTAATAAGAATTAATTAAACTTTGGACTAGCTCATTTTTTAGGGGTAGAGATGCACTTGGTCAATTACTATTCAATGAAGTCAATTACTGTTGATTTGGGTGGATTAAATGGACTTTAGGCCAGCTCATTTTTTAGGGGTGGACTTGCTCTTAAAACCCATGTCAAATCTTCCTCGTAGTTTATACCAATGACAGCCAACGCAGGCTGCTCAATCTGCTAAGACAGTTCATGATTAGGCCTGTTTCGGAACGCTCATCTAGAAAACACTTATACTCACACGCACTTACATTAAAAGTGCTTTTATTAGAAAAACATTGAAGTTTATATTAAAAATCCAAATGCTTCCCTATACAGTTGGGAATGCTTCTTCAAAAAGCGCTTCTATTAACGGAAATACTTTTAAAGTTTACAGGTTAAGCAAGATTAGAAGGAGAAGCAGAGATGATGAGTGGCTAAAGTTCGGATCTTTTTTAACGATCTGGATAATTTTTTTAGAATGGAAATTGGAGATTGAGAAAGAAAGCTTGTACCTTTTCAGGCTTGACATTGATGGTATGTCTGTGTTGGGAAGTGACTGGAAGAGAAGAAGAACGCCGGGAACGGCTGAGAGAAGGCAGCGCCGGGGGAATTTGGAAGCTGAATGAGCAGCTCATTTTAGAGCTCTCTTTCTTCTTTTTTCTGTTTTCTTATCCCTAAGGTTTGCGTTTCATGGCAGAAAATGCATGGCATTTCTTGACAATAAAGTTAAAATACATAACAAATAATAATTAATAAATAACAATTTATTATCAAACTTATAATTATACTTTTACCACTAGAAATGAATATAAAAAACAGAAAAAAATAAAAAATAAAAAAATAAAAAAAAAACCCCAAAACCCCAGACAATCTTAAAGATTGAGTCTTGAATAGAACCCACAACTGGAAAAGCTTCTTCCGAACCCCAAAAGCTCACTGCAACTCTGCAACTTTCCAATTTCTGCCTCAATCAGGTAAAAATGTTGGCCTCGGCAGCCCAACCGCCGTTAACGGTGAAACCGCCTCATCTCCACCAGTCCTCACCCTGCATCTCAAACACCCACATGGAAGTCATTGCAGCTAAACCCACCAGACCCAGAAACAGAAGGAAAGCACTCTTCTTCCATTCAACTTTTTCCCAATGCCTCAACCTCAAATCATTCTCTCCCCGCCAATTTCTTACAAGGGTCAGCGGTGGCGACGGCGGCGGTGCGGCTTATGCCACCCCCACAACAATATAAACCACCCACTGTAAGTTTTCAATTTCGTCCATTTATTATCAAGAACTAATCTTTTTAGTCTTTAATATGTTTCATTAAGATTCATCCCAGAAGATTATATTTCATAAGGATTAAAACCCACAAAATTATATTTCATGAGGATGAAATGTGAACTTTGATAATCCGATTCTCGCCACTTTTGATTTGTAGGACACAAAGAGATAAAGAGTAGTTCTTTGGGTGAGGGGTATGTCGGCTTGTTTATTCGGATGCTCGGGCTGGACAATGATTCCCTTGATAGAGAGCAGGCTATAGTGGCACTCTGGAAATACTCACTTGGAGGGAAGCAATTGTTAGATCTAGTCCTTCAGTTCATCTGCTCCATCAACTGCACTGCAACATTCCCTGACAGCAGCACATGTGGAATATAATCTGGACAGCAAGCATCTGCTCCATCAACTGCACTGCAACATTCCTGACAGCAGCACATGTGCTCTGATGTGTGCAGCATGGACAGTAAGCATGCGTGGAATACAACCTGGATAGCAAGCACGCCACATTAGTTTATTGTGTGTACATTAGTTTATTGTGTGTGCGTGTGTAAGATGTATATAAAGCAATCAGATTGAATAATAAAGATATGATATCAATTCTACATGGTACACAGAGCTCTCTAAGTCCAACGACATCGATCCAATATTTTTTTTTTCTCCCATCTACTATCTTTCATTATGTCGTCTGATACTAGCAGCAACAACACAACCATCCCGTTTTCCTCCGCCATGACCACCATCGTCAACATCAAACTCGATCGAACTAACTACCCATTGTGGTTAGCCCAGATTCTTCCTATCTTGAGGAGTCGTGATCTAATGGGGTACGTAGATGGCTCCTGTGTTTGTCCTCCTATGAATCTTCCTGGAAATACTGCAGTCAATCCGTCGTATATTACCTGGATGCAACATGATCAAATGATCCTCAGTTGGATCAATGGCTCGCTCACAGCTTCTGTGTTGTCAACTGTGGCAAGCAAGCGCACGTCTCGAGCAACTTGGGAAGCTTTGGAGCAGCGCTATGCATCATCCTCTCAGAATCGAATTCTGTTTCTGCGCAACGAACTGTTGCAAACCAAAAAAGGTGACCTTTCAATTGCTGATTTTCTTGACAAGATGAATTCTATTTCTGACAACCTAGCCCTAGCTGGCAAACCAGTTGAAGAGGATGAGCTTGTTCAGATTATTCTCAATAATCTTGGACCTGTTTTTGAAATGACCGTGAATGCCGCACAAGCACGTGATTCTCCTATCACGTATCCCACTCTAGAGTCTCTCCTTCTCACCACTGAGAGAAGGATGGCGGAGCAAACTGTTCAAGTGACAGACACTACTCCCGTTAATGTGTATGTGGCTGCAAGAGGACGTGGTGGACGTCTTCGAGGTACTGGGCGAGGCGCTGGACCGTCCAACCGTGGTCCCTCTGTAAATCAGAGAGGGTTTGTTTCTCGCAACAACAATGCCCACAGACAACAATCCGCTGCAAGGTCTGTTTCCTATGGTGGTCGTATAACTTGTCAAATCTGTGGAAGAGAAGGGCATCCCGCCCTTGATTGTTATCATCGCATGAATGCAGCCTACGAAGGTCGTATTCCAACCAACCGTCTAACAGCTATGGCTTCATCTCCAACCACACTGAATCGTCAGCAAAATGGCTCCTGGTTACTTGATACTGGGGCAAACGCCCATATTACTCCTGAGCTACAGAACCTTGTCAATCCCAAGGAGTATAATGGTAATGAAAACATTGGTGGAGTAGGTAATGATACTGGTCTTTCTATTGCACATTCTGGTTCAAATCAAATCATGACTGACTCTTGCTCATTTAAACTTAACAACATATTACATTGTCCTTCGGCCTCCACCAGTATAATTTCTGCCCATCGTTTTACACTTGACAATAGCTGTTATATACTAATCTTTCCACATTTCTTTCTTGTTAAGGACCTCAAGACCCGGAGGACGCTTTTCCGAGGGAAGTGTGAGAATGGGTTATACCCATTTCCTAATGGCGGTGGATCATCCAATCATCCCGTTCTAGCGTGTTTAGGAGTCCGAGTGTCTGCACAGAAATGGCATGATCGTCTGGGCCATTCTGCGTCTAAAATAATCAAATCTTTAATTTCCAATAATCAAGTGCAAATTAGTGGCACCTCTGCTGTACGTTTCTGTCATTCGTGTCCATTAGGCAAGAGTACCAAATTGCCGTTTCAAGTTTCAGAGTCTGTTTCGAAATTCCCTTTAGATCTTTTACATTCGGATGTTTGGTGTTCACCCGTTATTTCAAATGAAGGATATCGTTATTACTTATTGTTTGTCGATGATTTTTCCAAATATTCTTGGATTTTTCCTATGAAAAATAAGTCTGAGGTGTTCCAAATATTTTTAAAATTCAAAACCAAGGTTGAAAACATGTTTCAGCGTTCTATCAAGCTTCTCCAATGTGATGAAGGAGGAGAGTATAAGAGTAATGCTTTTCGAGAGTTTTTAGATAAACATGGCATCTCACAAAGGTTTTCTTGTCCCAAACACCCAGAACAAAATGGTCTTGCAGAAAGGAAACATCGTCATATTGTCGAAACTGCCATAGTCATGTTGTCTCATGCTGCTGTTCCCTCAAACTTTTGGCCTGATGCGTGTCAAACAGCCACCTATATCATCAATAGGTTGCCTACTCGTGTTCTGTCGAATAAGTCACCTTATGAAAAATTGTTTACAAGAACACCAAAATATGATTTTTTTAAAGTCTTTGGGTGTAGGTGTTTCCCGTGGCTGAGACCCTACACACAACACAAACTTGAGGCTAAGTCCAAATCATGTGTTTTCTTAGGTTATTCGCTAGATCATCAGGGGTACAAATGTTTGGATGTATCTACACGACGAGTTTACTTGTCTCGCCATGTCCTCTTTGATGAGGACTCTTTTCCATTCAAGGATATCACACTTCAAAAGGAAAGCGTCCATGCCACAGGTAGTTCTCCTTCATCTGATCTCTTATTTTTTTTCCCTTCCTTATCTCCATCACACTCCCCAGTCATCGCCTCTCCTAGCACTGCCCAACTTCTTTCCCATGATCCTCCCCCAACAAATATAACTTCTTCTGTGGATTCCATAGCCAACCCTAGTGTGTCTCCTGTTCTCAACCCTGATATTGTGCCCTTAGAAATGCCCAATGAGCACGAAATTATCAGTGAACCTGAACAGCAACCGGACCTTAGTTGTGCACCTAATCCCGTACATCACATGCAAACACGCTCCAAAGCTGGCATCCAGAAACCTAATCCCAAATATGCTTTGCATGTTGTCACCACTGATACACCTGTTGAACCTACGTCCTTTAGTCAAGCCGTGAAACAACAGGAATGGCGAAATGCTATGGTCACAGAATTTAATGCCTTACAGCGTTCTGGGACGTGGAATCTTGTTCCCTA